GCTTTTTCGTCTGATAAAAACAAATCTTATTGATGAAGCCATGCGAAAACAATACAGTAATAGAACCGAAATCAAATAAAAAAAGTATTAATAATGTTGAAGTTGAATCGTCCATGGTACAAGTCATTATCAAAATAAAAATAAGGAAAAACATATATTTTAAATAAGCAACACAGAATATATAAAACACAGAAGATGTAGATGAAAAACTCTCGTATATAGGTGATCACAATAAAATTCAGTTAAATTATGGTATGCCTTATTGCGAAGCGAATTTTCAATAGACTTCCTGAATTTTTGTCGTTTTGCATCTTCTTCAGATGATTTGCTGAATGATTGTGAATTTTCGAGCGTTCATAAATGAACGAATTCTTATAGCGTCGATTTGGTTTTTTGAAGTTGAATATTGTGACAGTTCCTAGTATTATAATAATTGAACAACAACTGATTCTGGTTCCTCTCATGCATCGAACCAACAGTTTCTAAAATAAAGAGATATGTTATTGCCAATATTTGTATAATAGGGAAGAATGGTTTACAGTGAGTGTTTAATAACACCGCTCGTTCTGAAGGACGAAAACAGAATTCATCATTTGAAAATTACAAAATCCCCAAAATGCGATGCCATATCTGATAGTCGACTCCATCAAAGCAAAATATACCATTCCAGCTTGAGTCCTTCCCAGCTTGCGTGCTACTACACGAACAGCAAAGCAGCCGGATGCAACTTTTTTTATTAAGCTCAAGATATGCGGTTCAAATTCCAACTTATTATCCACCATGATACCAAGGAGTTTCCCGTATTCGTTATCAGAAAAGTACCAAGAAAGTATGTGTTTTTTTCATTTATCGATTTATACCTTGAAAAAACATATCAAAAATCAATATCACCCATCTTCACCCAGATTTATAGCACTCACCAGCAAAAACAAACCTTAATTACTGAACTTTTCGAGTTTGAAATATTACATTCAACCGCCGTAACTTGAGTACATGAGCATGGGTTACTCAAAATTCTCGAGCAGTCTTGAGGATTTGTTTCAAATTGTCCTTGAAGGACGAATCGTGGCTTTTGAAGTGTATCTGCTAAGGGACGAAGGAGGAAGAGCCTCTGGAGTTCATTCCAAGGATGCTCTGTTTCTATAGGTTCTGAATTAGTGTTACTCAATACAATTGAAAAAATGGCTATCTTTTTCGAAACACTTGTATCTACTCTCGAAAAAAAGATATTAACGTGAATCTATAACGAATTTGTTAAGAAAGGGACAAGGAAGGATCACACTTCAATTCAAACATGATGAAGCAGACGGTTATTGGAGAATGATTCCGAACTAGTTTTGATGAATCAACTCCTGAACGGAAAACGATATTTGATGACGACGTGAGTCATTTTGACATCGATAAAAAGGATGCACCTTTTTTATCCCGATAAACTGTCTGTATACCGGGTGACACAGGGTATCGGGCCACCCCTGTAACTTCTGCTTTCTTCATCGGATTTTTCTGAAATTCGGTACAGTTATATAAGCAATTATTTCGGATTTGATCACATTACAATCCAATATGGCGGACTTCCGGTTCTTCTGGAAATGCCAGCAACTTTGTTTTTTCAAATGAAACACTCTGTATATTTCTACATATTCAAGTTCAACAGGTCGAAACAAGTGCAATCTTTATTTCAAATGTCATTTTTTCGAAAAAAATTAAATTAACATTGATTTTTCATTTTACCTCGTGGATAAATGAGATGTGGTCAAGACTATTCACAATGAGTCACACATAACAGAAGAACATAATTTTTCCTGAAAAATTATTTTTTGTGTCACTTATCCAGGAATCAATTCAGCCACATCACTTTTTGATCGAAAATTATTTTTTTTCAAATGAAACCCCTATGGGCCACCTACCCGTTTCTCTAGAACATACATTAAGGAACAAAATGAAATATCATTTTTGTTTTTCGGTGCAGTAACAAATTGTATACATTCAAAAATCAACAACTATAGTTTATGAATTTCCTTGCAGTTAGAATAATTTTTCAACTAGGTAGGCTGCGGAATAAATGACATTTGACATCACGATTGCACTTGTTTTGACCTGTTGAACTTGAATATGTAAAAATATACAGGGTGTTCCATTTGAAAAAACAAAATTGCTGGCATTTCCAGAAAAACCGGAAGTCCGCCATATTGGATTGTAATGTGATCAAATCCGAAATAGTTGCTTATATAACTGTACCGAATTTCAGAAAAATCCGTTGACGAATGCAGAAGTTACAGGGGTGGCCCGATAGCCTGTGTCACCCGGTATAGCTATTTGCGCCTGATATGTCACTCCAATTCCTCTCTTGTCAAGTTTGAGTTCACGCGTAAATTAGCAGGATGAGTCGTTTTAGGAACGCACGATGTTCTTTGAACATTATAGGGATTTCCTTTCGTGCGCTCCAAGTGATAAAAAAAATTCCGCAAACTACCAGTAACACGGAATCATCAAGAAAGGTGTTCATTATTGTTGTTTATTCGTTTATTGTCGTTGATTTATCTTGCCAAAAGTAACTACTAACTAACTAACTAACTAACTAACCAACTAACTAACATTTTCCATCAGTTATTTCTCTCGAAAAACTGACATTTGACAAAATTTCCTTATGTCAGTTTTTCTCCTAAAATTACTGATTAGCAAATGTTTTTCGTTCCCAAGAGATATTTATCCGATAAAAAAAACTCTTGTGTTTTTACTGTTGATCCAAACTTTTTCCTACGACTACTATTGTGAGTGATGAATATTGTACACAAAATAATGTTAGTAGGCTTTTCCTTACGCACAGAGTGCGTAAAACAAGCAATCGCACTGCTTTCATTGGTAAGTTGATAAATAACTTCGTTATGTTGCTTTTAGGTGATTTTTCAACTTCAGTTAATGTCAATAGCTAGGTACACTGAGGACACAAGGTTAAATGAATCGCTTAGTTGGAATTTCTTTACTACCGATTATTCAAAATATTGTCATTCCCATTAACAACAACAAAATATCCCTATTTTATACAAAAAACGTTGCTATTTCCACCTCATTATTTTTCATCAATAATAATACTATATACGACAGAATTATTACAGTGCTGTCCATTCGATTAATTGAAGTTTCTTGTTGGGGTATTGAACTTTTATTCAAGGGTTACTATGAACAGCTATCTTTTTGCCACAGCAAATATAACATTTATCAGAATTTATCTATTATTATTGAAATGAATTAGCCATAACTGAATGTAATATTCGTACTGACTCGGAACTTTTCGATGCCGATCAAAGCAAATATCACGATTGATATCGTTTTTACCGTTACTTTATTTCTATCTTATGAAGTTGCAAGGTCATGGTTCCTGAGCGTTTTGAGTAAGATTTCGATTTTTGTGAGGTGCATTCACCTCTACCTGTAAAAATTTCAGATCATTAGAAACAATTCTAAATTGTATATCCACGCATTTGTCGTCCTTTGTTCTGTCTACATCTCTATTTTGTGCATGTTTTGAAAAACAATCGGTCAATCAGTGCTCTGTTATAGTGAGTGCATGGTATACCTACCCAAAAATAGAAAGATAGTTCCTGAGACTGGCCTGGCCACTGACTATCATTTATCGTGGAAGTGTGACACGACGTACAATGAGTTCCAGATGGGACACCCTGCATTTTTGTCTATAAGTGGGTAGGGATTATCATAACGACTTCCACGATACTAATTTGAAGAAATATCATATCACACGTAAATTCCGATTATACCATTCTGAATAGATTAACAATTACATTAACATCTAAGAACAACTTACCTGAAATACCAGGGTTTAAAGGTAGATGATCTCAGAAGACAATCTCACAATAACTAGCCCAAAAAGCTATTTCATATACAAATGATGATCAATGACACACAATACAGAGCTTCTAGATCTCACTCATTTATTTAATACCGTAGGTACCTGAATTAGGGAAACGTGGTTATGCTACACCAGTTTAGTTGAATTCGTTGTGAACATTCATAACCACCTATGGAATGAAATGCAGGGTGTCCCATTTGAAAACTAAAAGTTTGTGTCATTCCTGGTCAAACCGGAAATGATGGGAGAATATGGAATATTACAAAATTAACCATTATCGAATTCTACACCCCTGTGAAATTTGAATCTCATACCTTCAGAACTCTAGAATGATGATACCCGGTATATTCTAAAATTAACAACACATTTCATAGTGATAGCGTTGGGCCGGATCAGCAAATCTGGAATTCTGTTGAAGTTGAGTTTATTCTGGTTGAATATATCACAATGCAGCATATTGTGAAAAAATCCATATATAGAAACATCCTGTATGAATCCTCCTGAATCAGAAACCATTTCGAGAAAACTCATTATGCTTCATCTCATCGCCCTTAATGATACATGAAAAAATCCCTGCCAAACGGGGCGATCTCAAAACTTTTCGAAAATCATCAGTTCCAGATATCACTCGCTGTAGGTCTTCATGCCAGATAGTTGAAATAACAAAAAAGTGCTGACGTTGTACTCAATAAAATGAGCTATCAGAATCTTGAGAGCAATTGAAAATTGGTTAATCCAATCCCAAGTTATGACGGTTCAAAAATAAAAGAAATGTTTGTTTGTCTCAGTTCAAATGTAAGGCAGTTAACCTGAAAAACAAAAAACAATTTTGAAACTGTTTGAAGGCCGTCGATATAACCTCCCGAATGCGCATAACTTTTTTCCCATTCAACCGATTCCGTATCTCTTCCCGTTTTCGACATCCACGCTGTGCAACTTCATCTTGATCACACTGCTTAAGCACGGACACTTGAAATCAGATAGGAGAATCAACTACGTACAAATTTGTAGAAAGCAAAACTTCGGTATACAACTAATGTTCTTAGTGATGAAACCGAGGACTCGGCATTTCAAAAAAATTTGAGAAATTAATATTCTACGTCTTATTTACATACATGCAATGTTACAGTACTCACCTTCTAAAATCCCTGCTCCAACAAGCATAGATAACAGGATTCATGCTAGAGTTGACCCACCCCAACCAAGTTACGACAGCCAACACAACCTTCTCGTTACTAATACACTGCAAGCAGAATCCCGACAACAGGTTCACCACGAAAAAAGGCAACCAACAAATCACAAAAACCCCCATCACGATACCCAAAGTCTTAGCCGCCTTTTTTTCCTTCGCAAACTTAGCCAACTTCCTACTGAGCGAAAAGTTCTTGCTATGCGAGTTGAGTCTACTGGAAGCCATTCGAGCCAACCCGTCATTCTGCAGAGCTGTCAGAGGCTCATCTTCCTGCGTGGAATAAAGCCTCTCAGGCGCCTTGCAAGTTCCCCCTCTGTGTATCCTCAGAGTCAGCTCCAGCTCCCCAGAACCCAAGAGAATCTGCTTGGTGCCAAGCCTCAAGGACCTGGTCTGAGCTGCGGCAGCTCTATAAATCCTGAAGTAAGTGAACAGCATCACGAACAACGGAAGGTAAAAGGAGATAGTCGAAGAAAAGATCAGGTAGCCTAGATGTTCGGTGAATGGACATTGGAAAGCAGGTATAGGAGCGTTTCTAACTGCTCTCCACCAGCCTATGGCAGGAAAGGAGATGGCACTGCTGCAGATCCAAACTGCAGCTATGAGGAACATGGACCTCACCCGCGTCATCCGCATGGGGTATGCTATGGGGTCTGTGATGGCCCAATAGCGGTCGAGGGATATAACGCACAAATTCAGGATCGAAGCTGTGCTGAAGAGGACGTCTAAGCTTCTCCAGATGTCACACCAATCGGAGCCGAAGAACCAGGTGTGGCCTAGGACCTCGTACAGCGCACTGAAAGGCATGACGACGAGCCCCACTAGGCAATCAGCTACAGCCAGAGAAGTGATGAAGTAATTCGTGGGGGTGTGGAGATACCTCTCTCTGATGACAGCTAGTATGACCAGCATATTGCCGAATACTGTGCACAAAGAAAAGAGGAGCAAGAGAGTGACTACGACCGCTCGGTCTTGGATGAGGTCTGTCCATTTGTCCCAGGCATCTTGGTATTCGGCGGTGTAGTTGATCCATGGGTCGACGGGGTTGGTGATGTTGATCAGGCTCTCGTAGGAGGAGCCTGAGGTGTTCATCATGGAGGTAAGAGGTCATTTCTGGAACAAAATAATTGAATCAATTTCCTGATATTGACGATGAAGGAGAGCATGAAACCATTTGTACAACTATTCAATAATAAAGTTTCAGTCATAAGGATGATCACGGTCAGATGGAGCCCATCAAAAGCCTTCACATCATAAAGAAGTTATGTGAATGGAAAGAATATGATTATGATTCAACGTTCACCTCTTTAATACATCCAGATCATGCCAGAAAAATAATCATGACTAATATATATAGTGATTTAAATTCAACTTCAACCTCAAAAATACTTCTAGAGATTGCCAGGAAAATGATGATGACTGATGATGAGATGTTGTAGTTGTTCCTGAATAAGATCTTCATTGACAGTAGCTTCGTCGTGAGTGGTGATCATTAAACCATTTGACCCTGAAAACATTTTTTTGTTCCGATTTTGTACACCGTGTCCTAGCTGAAATGTCCCCTCCTGTAAACAATCAACCGCGCGATCGAATGACTTGAAATTTGGTCACCCAGTATATTCGATGATGCACACTCGAATTATGATATTGAATGAATCGTAGGTATACAGGGTCACACCGAAGTGCACCTCAACTATCTTATTTGAATAGGGACACCCAGTATATTATTCCATATTCAAGTAGAGTTCATTGTTACTTATTCAAAAATGCCAGGTTTGATGGGATTTTTTCGAACGACTATGAAGATATGGCAAAAAATCAAACGATTCAATAAAAAATGTATATGATTAGATTTTATCAATATAACACGATTGAAATCGAATGAGAAGAAAATAATTGAAACCTCAACTGCTCAATATGTCGTCCATCCTGCTGCAAAAATTTCCTAGGTCTTTTGATAACGTTCATTGTGACCCTATGTATCACGTTGCGATCAATTTGTGATTTTCTCTTCCATTTCTTCCATATTCACAATTTTCGACTCATAAACCTGTTGTTTCAAGTAGTCCCAAAAATAAAAATCAAGTGGGGTGTGGTCGGGCGACCGAGCTGGCCAGTTGTTATCACCATCGAGACAATTGGTGGTTATTAGATTTTAATTATTTTCTCTTCATTTGATTTCAATCGAGTTATATTGATGAAATCCAATCATATAAATTTTCAATTGAATCGTTTTATTTTTTTCCATATCTTCGTAGTCGTATTAAGAAAATTCCATCAAACTTGGTATTGTTAAATTTGTAATAATGAAACTCTACTTGAATATGGAATAATATACTGGGTGTCCCTATTTGAATAAGAGAGTTGAATACCTACGATTTATTCAATAGCATAATTCGAGTGAGTATCATCAAATATACTGGGTGACCAAATTTCAAGTCATTGGATCGCGCGGTTGATTCTTTACAGGGGGACATTTTAGCTGAGACACGGTATATATATTTTTTGAACGGTTGATAGAAGGTAGTCGAGGAAAAATCTTAAAATAATTTTTCGATCTCCAGTTTTGAAAAAAACAGCGGTTTTCTTGAGAAGACGGTGGGATAATAAAGGGCTACTTCCAGAACAACAAATGAAGATTTGAAAATATATTCATATTACATCTTACAAAATGCTCAGAAAAATTCAAGCCTCCTTCAGGAGTGACAAAGATGTAAAAATATTGTCAACAAATGCGTGAAAGAGCTGGTTAGGCATTTTCTGTGAAACATTCAACATATTGGAGAAGAACTGACGCTCCCATTCGTCCGGAATTGTTATCGATACACCTTGGTTGAGATCGAAATAAAAAATTTATCCAAGGCTAAGGGTACCTATACTCAAAATGTATACCCCACCTCATTGGTTTGCCTCTAATACTCACCTCTATATCTCCCAAAATACGGTATCAGAGCCCCATCAAAGCTGTGTAAAAGTTTAGTGGGTTGTGGTGTTTCACCGCCTCAAGGCGGTTGAAAAATATGTTTTTGTATGGGAATAAATTGAAAAATCTATTCCGGAGAGTATTTTCTATTACCCCAAATATTATTTCCACAACTTTAAGCAGTTGAATTCAGTTGAATTCCCCACCCTGTGTACAGCGTGTCCCACTTTAAACGGCACCTACCTATATAACGGACGATTCTGGCCAATTCTTTCAATTGACTCGGCCGTTACTTGATAGAAATCCATGGCAAATGTATAAAATTCACGAACGATAAGATTTCCACAAAATTCTCAAACACACGACATGTTTCACTAGCACAGTAGCTTCGTCAGGTGAGTTTACAACAATAATAATGTGAGTCGAGAACGACTCATCAAAAGGGGTGTACCACAGGGATCCATACTAGGTCCTTTTTTATTTTTAATCTATGCCAATGATCTGCCTTCACACATGCTTTCACAACATGAATTACTGACAATATTGTATGCAGATGATACGTTCTTTTCTATTCACCTGAATCCCACATGCACAGACATTGACGATATTTCAGCAGACGTTACTGCCCACGCAAAACAATGGTTTGATAACAATGAATTATTTTTGAATGAAACAAAAACAGAGGTATGTCTATTCTCAAATTATCATGTCCACTCAACTAGATCACATTCAATAAAATTCTTGGGAGTTTATCTAGATCCATCCCTTACTTGGGCCACACATGTTGACAACATCTGCAGAAAATTAGCAAATTCAGTTTATGCCATTAGGCGCATAACTTCAACTGTGAGCCAAGAAGCTGCTTTAACAGCATACTATGCAATGTTTCATTCAGTGATGAGCTATGGTTTGCTATGCTGGGGTAGTTCAAGCTATACACACTTACAAAGAGTTTTTACATTACAAAAAGCGGCTGTACGAAGCATTGCAAAGGTTAGTTATACTGAACATTGCCAACCATTTTTTCAAGCTTTAGGTATTATGACCTTATATTCACAAATTGTCTACGAAAATCTCATACATGTTAGAAAAAATATACATACATTCACTACTCATTCAGACATTCATAATTATAGAACCAGATATGGTCATAACATTGTACCTCATAAAAGGAGATTAGAAAAGAGCAAATCCATAGGAATATCTCTTTTCAATTCTCTTTCTACAGATATCAGAGATCTGCCGTTGGATCGTTTTAAAAAAACGTTGAGAAAGATTCTTGTCAGAATGAGTCTCTACAGAATCTTGTAGACAACTGGTGCTATTTTAATTTCAATTTTTCTTGATTTTTAATGATTTTATCCCTTGTAATTTTTGTTTGTAATTTCTTTGTTTCTTTGTATGACGTGTCCATAACTTGTATACCATGGATGTAATATATTCTATTCTATTCTATTCTATTCTATTCTATTCTATACTGGAGTTCATTGTACCAGTATATCACCTGACGAAGCTACTGTGTTAGCGAAACATGTCGTGTGTTTGAGAATTTTGTGAAAATCTTATCTTTCGTGAAGATTCTGGCCAAATTTGAACTATCATCAATAAATATCGATATGATCAGTTTCACAGAGACGAACATCATTTTGGATAAGGATGTTTTCATTTATTAATCTTGAATTCACCATTTTCATGTTCAGATTGATATATTTTTTCTATATCAACTGAACAAGAAGCAATGCTATCGTCTCCGTTCAGTAGAATGCACGCAGATTCCTTTATTTTTCTCTTCTGGTTGTTATCTTTTTTTTCTGTAACTCATTTGATTGCCAACGTCACCAATTGTCAATGAAAACTAAACAGCTTCAAGACATATACGACTTCGCTATTGAAATAATCTTCTTTTATGTTGAAAACTGGAGCAGATTCGGTGCCGAAACGTCCAAAGATAAGTGAAAATTTTATATTTTTTCTATACACCTTTATTCCTCTTCTCCAAATTTTTTTCAATACAAATTGTCACTGACAAGCTAGTGAATTTTTCTTTTAGGCTCTCTGATATGAAAATTCTTCAACACAGTGACATTTTGAGGCAAATCATCTGAGTTGTCCCTACTACACATATATTGAAATAATATTCATATTTTTATTTTATAGAAACGAGGAGAGGAAAACTCAAAAATTTGGGATAATGAATTTACCACCTCCTCGATTAACCTACAGACAGTATTTGATGAGGAATGATATTATGAAGTAGATTTTTTTGCAACAAAATGCTCAATATGATTTTATAAAAAATCACGGCACTGTCGATAATGATGTTTGTTTCTGAAAAACTGATCATAATGATTGGTTATTCATATCAGATCAAATTTGTTAACAATCGGAAGACTAACAGCTGAGATATACAGGGTGACACAGGATTAAACCGCTAAACGTTCAGGATCAGTTTTTTATGCAAAAATAAGACTCCTTCTTTCCATAAGCATGTTTCTTAACCTGCTGCATTCAAGAGATATAGGGTGTCAAAGTTTTTAGAAAAAATCAGTTTTTCATTAATTACTCAAAAACCTTTTTGCTGATTTTGATAAAACTTGGCATGCTCATTTGAGGGGCTCCTGTTTACTATTCACCTAGAATAAAATCAGTATTTCCAATAGCGTCCCAGAGGGTAATCTATCTAATATTAGTATAAATCATTGTACGCCACTGTTTTATTCGTATGTTTATTTCTTAAATTAAACTTTCAAAAATACATGTTTTTGTCATCGATTCTTTTTGTATACAATGGTTTTTTTGAAAAAACTCAATAGCGCTTTTGTATAAAACGTGGCGTATACAATGATTTATCCTAATATTAGATAGATTACCCTCTGGGGCGCTACTGGAAATAATAATTTCATCCTAAGCAAACAGTTAACAGGAGCCCCTTATTACCTCAAATGAGCATACCAAGTTTTATCAAAATCAGCCCAAAGGTTTTTGAGTAATTAATGAAGAACTGATTCTTTATCAAAACTTTGACACCCTATATCTCTAAAATGAAGGAAGTTAGGACACATGCTTATAGGAAGAAAACGTTTTATTTTTGCCTAAAAAATTGATCCTGAACGTTTGGCGGTTTAACCCTGGGTCACCCTGTATAGAGGGAAGAGGGGGCGTTTAAATT